GAATTTAAATTGCGTTAGTTTCAATCTGCAAATAATTTACGAGAATACTTATTGTTGTTTCATTAATATTAATACAACATTTTACAGGCCATTGACTACTTATTTAATTGTTATTTGTGCACTTTTGTATTCGCCAAACAGTACACTGATTCGTGGCTTAATAGATGCCATATTTAATCGCCGCATCGAAATTAACAGTTGGAAAAGCTTCTGGATAATTTTCCAATTTAGCGGTGAGAATATGGAAAATAAATAAATTATCAGTGATGCTGCGTCAGTTGTCTATTTCATTAAGTTGTATTATAAGTGAATGCAAACAATTATGAACTTATGAGATAATTAACTGCAAAAACAAGGTCATTTGCATAAGTAAGTCAATAAGCGATGAGTAATTATAAATTATAACGGATTCCGCTTTGTTTATCTTATGTAATCAGCTTTACGTGCTTAAATAATTAACTTTGAATACGTTTTAATTAATAATGCACGCAAACTAACGAAAATGTATTGGATGGGCCGGGCCGACTGATTAATAAGAACCGAGTGGGGGAAATCAAACAAACAAGGATTTAAAAGTTTTTAATCATCATTTGTATGTAATATTATTATCCATGGTAAGTTAAACATTTTATAAATAAATTACAAATTAAATTGTGGCATCTAAATGTATATTTTTGTCTTAAACATTGCAATTTAATTCTTGAAATATATTAAGGTTTAGTTATATCATTTTATAGTCTTAATTGGAACAAACTAGATCGAACGACTATATTATATAGTTGCAACAGAAACGATCGCTCAATGTATGTCTACCTCTCTCTATGTATCTCTTGAGATCTCTTTCTATCTCTCCCTGCCTGGGTAACTCTAGAGATAACTCCTTCTCTCTATCTCTCTTTGCCTATCTCTAGGTTTCTCTTTCTCTATAGCGCTCTTGCTCTCACTTTCTCTGCTCTTCTCTTTACTCGGGGAGTATAAATAGAGGCACTGGCCGGCCCACCGGCCTCATTCTGTCCGCGGCCTTCCCACCGTCTACATCTATAGTGATCTTGGAAGTGATTGTGATTGCCCTTCGACCCCAAAAATTATCGCCTGATAACGATAACCGTGTGACCTCTTCTTTGGTAAGTCTTAATCATGATAATAATATCATGTTTATAGATGCTTTAGGAGAGATCAGGCACAGGTATAGATTTGGATTTATGGATTTATTTCTGCTACTCGAAGTTAACTTCATTTCTTGTTTTTAAGTGTAGTTGCTCTTTATATACTATCATTAAAAAATCCATAAATATCATTAAAGTTTCTAGGCTTACTGCAGTCATTATTTTTTCTCCTTTTTTTGTGGTAAACTAATAGACAACACCAAGGCAAGTTCGTTAACAGGAGTGATGGCAACGCTCATCTATATGGATCTCATGGGCAAACTGTCATAGAAGGGTGCTTCCTCTGGGAATCTCACGCACTGCCCACCTCCAATCCGATGGCACAGACTGTATTAATGCGCTTCATATGTCGGGACGGGCCATTCATCATCATTATGCTGATGCCAACTGGATGGCTGGATGGCTGGATGGCTGGCTGGCTGTTTGCTGGAGAAGCTCGTTTGTGCCAAGCAGCCAAACACAGACACACCTCGTGCGTAGGGTTTATGAGAGGAGCTCATCAGCTCGCAGCCAGAAGAAGTGATTTCAATACAAGCCCCACCAAGTCAGGCTGACTTGGGAGAGAAAAAGTTTAAATAACTTTTGCCCGGCTTCATGTCGCAGCATTTAAAATGAACAAACATTGTGTGTTGTGTGTGTGTATGGAAATTGCTGAGGAAGTGGGGGAAAAGTCTGTCTGCCAACTTACTTACGGCCTGTTGTTATGTGGGCCCTGTTATCAAAACGCTCTCGCTTAAACTTTATTAGTTTGACATGTGTGCTTTTAGCATTTTGGGCACGTTTGATGAAACGTAATCAAAAGCAAGCTGCATAGCATTTTTAACATTTTTTCCATGATTTTTCTGCCAGACTGTCGCATGAATTTAAAGGGATCCCCCAGTGGAGACCCCTTGAGAGCACTTGAGCTAATACTTGCCGTAAGTTACAGCTTGTAAGTAAGAATAGCTTTACCAGAGCGCAGACTGATGCAAAACTTTGCTCGGCGACATGTGAATCCTTTGTGTCCCCACTCCTAGCCGATCCTATCCTATCCGATGCGATGCGATGCCATGGCAATAGTTAGGGCTTAGCCCCAGCACAGTGTGTCGCTGGCTTTCGCTGAACATTTTAATCGGCAGGAAATGATGTGAAAAAGTTTTTAATCCCTTTAAATGCCAACTTTTCAATACCATCGCACATCAGGCAGGGCCGAGTCCTTGGGTAGGGGCTTAAAGCGAGCGAAAAGTCGTGAAACTTAATTATCCACTTGCCTCCCGGCCACCCACGCACAGGTGTGAGCTGTAGTTAATTTAAATGTGCCTTAAAGCCAGTGTAGGGAGGTAGGTACCTAGGTACATAACAAAAGGTAATACCCTGCAAATAGTTTAAAGTACCTTAAGCCTACCTGACTTTATTCTATTAATTTCCTATAATTTATTTATCTAATAACCAATCGAGTTTTCAAAACAGATTTAATGAATTTGTGAATTAAATCAAATTACCTTAGATCCTTTATTTTAGAATTAAGTTACGTATACAGCACTTAAATTTAGCTCTTGCTTTGGGTGCATTCCTTGCCAAGTTAGTTTATTAATATAATAAATGGGAATATTGTACTCAGAGCTTCTAATTAAATTACAATTTGTACCTCTACCATCACTGCTGGTGCATTTATGGCAGACATTTGACTTTACCTTGAAGATTTAGTGCTTTTGCGAATCTTTGATGATAAATAAAATTTGCAGCTGCTTAAATCTTCAACACGAGACGCACACACCTGCAAATTCGTATATATATGTACATATATTCCGGCCGATAAGCACCTGCATATTCATAATTCAGATAAGTGTCGCCGGCTGGACAACCTTCGCATCCGCCCAGCGGAACATTAGAGCAGGCAAAATTCATGCAAATTATGTTAAAGTGCAGGTGCTCAAAAGGTAAAACTCTGGGCGCACTGGAAACTGTGTTTTCATGCTCAGACATAAGCGTGTGTAAAACAATATTTTTGCACATCCTACGCCTTAAAACCATAAAATTGCATAATTTATAAATTTGAATATCTCACACATAAAAGTGGGGTCAGCAGGCATGAATTTTCCTGTGGGTCAGAGGCAGAGACAGGAGAGAAAAGGAAATAGGAAAATAGGCATGTGTGTGCCACAGAGTCAAACGTTATTGCTTCAAACCCAATTTGGCCAGCTCAAGCTAAAAGAGGTGGCCAAAAAACAATTTTTGCTCCAGAGCAGTCATCAGAATTTGTGGTCTCGCAATAGACCAAGCAATTGTAATTTGAGAACAAAATTTAAAATGTTGTAAATGCCTCTCTGCGTTTGGCCAGGACAATAAAGAGTCTGGCCAATAGTTATTAGAAATTGAGAAATACCTCTGACTTATTCAAAGGGAAATCCCATTGACAGTTGATACTGATTTCTTGATTACACGCCACATAGTTTTTACTACCCCCTTCAGGCTTTAAAGAGTAAAATAATAATTTTTGATTTATGGCTTACCATTTTTACTCGGCTCGACTGTTTGCCAATTTAATTGATTTCTGGCCTGCAGCTTGTGGCATTTCTTTCGAATAATTTCAACATCTTGCGGCGCTGCACTTTCGGGGGCGTGGCACGGCATACACAGAACTAACTTTTGCGGCCACACCGCAACTTCCATGTTTATTTTTATCGCACTTCCTTGACGCGTCGAGTTTTCCAAAGTTTTGCGAACAGGCAACTGCGAGGGAGTCTCGTTGTAGCACACGTGTAAACACACGAGTTTGATTTTTCTAAAGTGCTGTGTGAAAGTTACCATTCGGTGGCGGTAACCTCGACATGTTTATGGACGCCTAAACTATGGGGTTCATGGACTGTGCCTCAGCCAGTAGTAAATTGATAAAACTTTCAGTCCTTGCCGCGTGCATAAATGATGTTTCACTAGCAAGAAGGGAAGAACACCTTTTAGAAGGTAAATTTTAATTATTATTATGGATCTGTATCAAAGATATTAACCCTTTATTAATTAATATTCCTTAACAAAGACAAGTGTCAAGCTACTCTTACATAAAATCAATAATCGAGTGCATAAAAGATTTTCGACAACCCTTACTTTTTGCTGTCAATGAATGACATGCCATCAACAGCTCTTTTCGGATGTGAATAGTAATTATTATTTACTTCAGTGCCCTTACCAGTTAGGAGTGTCAACGAATTCGTTTCATTTAATTATGTCGACGGCCATTTCGAGGGAGTGAATTACACAAATATCCGGAATACTTTCGGGACCTTAATTGTCCGACAGTCATCAACTTGCGGCTGCCTGCCAATGTCCAGATAAAGTGTGTGTGGTAAACTATTGTCTCGACAGTTGAGGAACTCGACACACCGACCCCCCTCGAGTGCGTGCTACCGCAAGTATTTTAAATTGTTTTGGTAAGTGCTGTGTTACACCCCATCCACACCCAGGGGCAGTCTGCCGCCCTTTTTGGGGGACCTGGAACCATTTGGCAGCAGGTGATAAAAGTTCAAAGTCATGTAAGCCACGTGGTCGGGGAATCTGCTTTATATTTGAATTTTCCCACCGCTCGCACGCAACTGGAGTGTGTCGGGAAAACAAAATGGATTTCATCCCATAGACTTTGAAGCTTCATTTTTCAACTCGTTCAACTTGGCGGCTTGCAAAGTTGAAATGTTTCAAGACAAAGGCAAACAGACTGCGCTTTTCTGAGTTGAAGGTAAGTTAAGTCAAATGAAGACTCTTCTCGTACACGGCAATAAAAAATAGTGTGATGTTTGTCTCACTTTTAATCACTGCTAGTATAATAATGTTTATACTAATCATTTATAAATAAGAAATATATTGAAAAACAAGTCCGATTTATTGTTTCACTAGAATATCTTATTTTTCCTTAGTGCACAATTGTCAAAAGACTAAAAGCATCTACCCTCTAAAGAGTTGACTAAAGGACACCACAAGAAGTGCATAAGAGCCTTGCACTCGACTCTTGCGGTTTTACACTCCTAAACTCCTACTCCTCCAAAATGGCAACGTTTTCCAACAGCATTTACCCAGAATGCATATCCCGGATCTGAGTCTCAGCTTTTTTTTATATTGCACGCGACGCAACCTATAGCGCAGTGTCTTTATAAATTCCTCCCGCCGAATAATACCATCCCCGTCATGGTCGAAGATGGTGTAGATCACACACATGAGGTGTGGCGAAAGCCTAACACCAGAGACCAACTCGGCAATGTGCTGCAGGGTATGGGGGCGGATATCTGCGCCGGCTAGAAAGTGAAAGGTTAGCGCCATGTCCACAGTTTCCACATCCTGGACCAGTCGGGAAAAGGACATGAACTCGTCCAGGCTAATCCCTTTCTTTTTCTGTCCGAACTTCGCCTTAACTCGCTCCAGGGCTGCTTGTCGCGTTATAGAAGACTTGGTGTAGGACAGCAACACTTTGGCAAAGTCCAGTTCTGTGATCAGGGAACTACAGAAATGGATAAAGGATATAAGAGGTAGGATGGGAAGATGCTTTACTCAGGCCTCACTTACCTGGAGTTCCTCCGCAGCATCTCGTGCTCCTTGACAAGAATCTCCTCGTTCAGCTTCTGCAAAAACGCAAGGAACTCATTGATACTCAGCTTTTTCTTGAGTCGCGGTCCGAACAGGGTGCCCTTCAGTCGCGAGTTCACAATGGAGGCCTCGCCCATGGTAATGACTCGTATCACATTGTCCAGATCCTCCATGCTCACGGTGCCATCCTCATCATGATCCAATAATTTCAAGAAATTCCTAACATGACGTTCAGGAATTGACAACAAAATGGCCAACAGCACATAGTCGCTAAAGTCAAGCAATCCTGAGCCGCCGAGCATAAGGAAGATGCTATCCTCTTGGGCGCTAGCCCGCCACTTTTCGGCTCCATCCTCGTCAAGTAGGCGGTAACGGGCCAAGGTCAGGTGCTCCGGTTGCTTCATTCCCGGCAAGATCGATCGCAGGAAATCCTCGGGGGTCATGAACACATCATACCTGCCAGATTTGCTCTTCATTTTGATGGTGGCAAAGTATCGAAACACCTTTATGGGGTCAGAGTGGCGTCGCAACCTATTCTCATACGCCAAAATAGTGTTCTCTCGAAAGGAGGCCCTGTGCGCACTATGTTTTTTGCTCCCCTTCGGTTTGGTAAAATCCTTTTTGGTCAACGCGTTCAGAATTAAAGAATCTGGCCAGAAGGAAACCTTGGCCTCTTCCCGGCTATCAAGAACAAGAGAGATAAAGCCTGCAGAGGAGCGTGCACAGTGGAAAATTGGTGGCCAAAAGCGGGACATGTTTGTCTCTTTACAAATTTCAAATATCGAGAAAAATTCTCTTCACGAATGATGGACTTCAGAATTTTGCTTGGGGTGTGGCTAAAACGATTTCGGTTTGCTCAGAATTTGGGTCAATTTTTTTTTCTCTTCGTTTTCTTCAAACTGATTGATGTGGCCAGGCCTCTAGCTGATTTTCCGCTTTTCCCCAGGACCACAAATACACATACACACACATATATCCACTCGATGGAAAGCATTAAAAGTAATCAGCAGCGCAAATGTTTGCACTACAGAAATACTAGTGGTGGTGGTGGTGCATGGTGCTTGGAGTTTATAAGGCCCCAGGGAAATTTGCAAACAATAAAGCGTCGGCAGGGCAGAGAGGAAATGTGGAAAAACTTTGCTTCGATTTGTGGATTTCCTTCTAATTTCTGCACTGGATTTCTATGCATTTATGGGCGGTCAGCCGGCAATTTCGCCAGCCATTGTGCTGAGGTGCTCAGAATTTTTGCACAAAGTTGTCCCCCAACTTCTTTTCCAGCGTCCGTCGAGCACTCTCGACAGTAAGTTTCGTATTCGAGGGCCCTCGTTTGTTCAGCAAACTTTCGATGGGTCTTTAAGACTTGCATTTGGCTAATAAAAGTAGGCTGGGATTCTATATGGATGCATATATTCAGATTGAAAGTATATATATTGTAAATGTTTTAATTTCGAAATGGTCTCTTATGTAATCCGCATTTATTCAAAGTATTTTATTCGAAAAACATTTGACAAAAGGTTTGGAAAAGCATTATTACCTTCATTTATACAATGACTAAGGCTTTTATTGTGTAGGTAATAATTTAAACCTCTTTGTTTTAGAAAATCTGTATAGTTTAAAATTGTAAAGGATTTAATACATTTGAAATTGTCTTTAAATAATTCATAAAGAGTGTTTAATAGAACATTTTATTATTACTGAAACTTCCCATTTAAGCTACATGAATATTTACTAAAATAGCTTAAAAACTGTTATTGTTTTTCCTCGTTTAAATTGTTTTTTTCCGCAAACGCTGATTGACAAGCGGATTGATTTCGAGTCAACGTTTCGAATGTTAATTTAGACATGGTGTTTGACACTTGATTAAAGTCTGACACTTTTTGTCGAAAATGCCTCTGCTATGCTTACCGCACGTGCATTCAGGGAAATTCCCAAGTGGCGAGGGAAAACGTGGCCAACCAGGTGAATAATGCTCGCCGTGGCACTTAAGCTAAGGCCAAAAGTTTAGGCTTTCCTTTTGTCAAACGGCTGTCAACCCGGAGCCCAATCCTTTTGTCCGTTTCGTTGGCCTGGCATCCTGGCATCCAAGCATTTGCATATTATGTGTGTGTGTGTACGGTGGCATAAACAACAATCAGAGCATAAACAAAGGTGGCGCCAGAGCCAAAGCCAGTGGAGCATTTTGGGCGCTGCCGAAAATTAAGTTAAACAAAAAACAGTAGCAGCCGCAGTGCAGTGAAAGTCAAACGGAAACGGATACGCCCCGGGCGGAATGACAGAAATTGTCACGTAGCCCGCTCTTTGAATGTGTGTGTGACAAATAAGGCACTCATCCACACCACCCACACACCACCTCCTCGTCTTTATAGCTTTGATTTAACATCAATTGTAAACTGCTTGCGTTTGTGATTTGTCATGTGTCACAACCTGAAAATGAAAATGGTAAAAGTGGAATTTATGGAAGATGGAACGTAGGAAAATGAAGCGTTTGGTATAGCCTACTTATATGGGCACCAAATTAATCTACTATGTTTGTCAGGTAATTTGCATAGACACTGGAAAAAATATATTTCTTTGAAGATTACGCATTTTTAATATGAAAATGTGAGGAAAAATGTTATATGTTTTAATTTATAACCACAATTATGGCTTAAACTTAAAAATAAATTCAATTGTAAACTGCAGAGTTTTGCTTATTGACTTTAATTACCTTTCTTGTGTTCCTGAAATATCTAAAATATGAAACGAATATTTTAAAATGAATTAAGATCTAATTTTATTGCAGTGTACTCCCACCGATTTGCAATATGCAAAAATTGTGAAAATTCTTGTCGTGTTTAGCGGATTTGTCATGACCACTTCTCGCAGCTTTTCCTTTCACGATTCGGAGGCATTTGGCGAACTAATATTTGCGGCATATGCCAAGTGCAGTGAAGGGAACTTTCACACTCACACACTCGCTTTCCCTTTTTACTTTCACCCACTCATTTTTATCGAACTGGTGCACAGTAACGGCTTTCCAGGCGACTGAGCGGAAAAGCCGGGAAATCGGTCGAGGAGCTGTCTCTTGCCGAGTTTTATTTCCTTGCCCCTTTGTTGCCTTACCTCGGCTTGGCTCGGTGCATTGCATTTCTTTCACTTGCCTGACTCCCAAGACTTTTAATTTTATAAATTGTCTCGCATGTGTGCGAGGGGGTTTTCCTTTGTCAACGAGACAGCCATTGTCGTCAGCTTAAGATTTTGATAAGCCATTGAAAAGTGTGTCTATAAGCACTCGGGCATTCAAGTGTCGCTCACTCCGTTCGGCTTTCGGTCCGCTTTTGTTTGCCTTAACTATAAATGGCTTAATAACAGATTTCACAGCGACAGTTGATGTCTTCAGTTCGTCGTTTTCTCCATCAGTTTTTTTATAACCAATTTTTTTTTGCACTCCCCTTACTATAATTTGTTTGCGTTTGCATGTCGATGAAAGAGGAGAATTATTGAAATTTGAGTGGACTTCAAAGCGATTGCAAAAATCGAATTAGAACGTAGATGGAAGGCAGCACAAAAATGAAAAAAAAGAGACAATGCTAAGGGCTCTTGTGCGTTCAGCGTGAATTATGTGATTTATGGCGGCGGCTTGTTTGCCAAACGCTTCGCAATTACATAAGCACTTTTCTACACCCACCCAGACCGGCCTTCTGTTTTCGCTATATATACTATATATGTATAAAAAAACACCCCCCGAAATATTCCTAAAATATGAAATAATAAATGCTTTTTGCAAATATGTTTGCCAAGAAACTTTTCGCGAGGGTTCTCCCCTTTTTTGGGGTCATTTTCCTATACGTGTGGTGCCTTCTCTCCGGCCCCGGCAAAAAAATGGCAGGGTATTCGGCAGCCTCCATCTTCCATATGCTGTTTGGAATTTTATTTTTTGGCAAATTTGTTGCCTCAATGGACACACAGCGTACTTCCGCTTTTACCCTGAGTTTCTTTTCTTTTCTGAAGCGTTTTTTTCTCCTCTTTTTGTTGTTGTTGTTTTGTGCTTGCTTGCCGGGTAATAATTCTAGATTTATGAAAATTGTTTTTCCGTTAATGTTTGCCATGTTTTCGACGTTTTTATGTTGCTGCTCCAAGATGAAATTTACCCGAATGCACAAGCACACATACTCTGCATAGAATTTGTTTCATTCCAGGAAGACTACAGCAGAGCTCGCAAAGATAGGTCCAAAGATACATCTATAATTTTGTAAATTTCAAAGAAATTTAATTAATGTATAAAAAAGTAGTAATGTATAAAAATATTTAGTAAACTAAATTTTTTAAATAACAATTTGACTTTAATAATTCCTATTATTTCAACTGCTATTGTTGGTAGAGTATATTGTATTTGAAGGACTTGCTCTTGGAGTGAGCGGTCGACATTCCTGGCCGTGGAATGTGATCCCCGCAATTTTCGACCATTTCCATTAAGGTTCCACCTCCATTCCAAACTTCTTATATGAAAGTTTTCGCCCAGACGCAGTTTGCAAATTTCGAAATTTGATTTCTGTAACCCATGAAAGGGTTGTTTGGCGTTTGATTAAATTTCCACCAGCACACCCGCCGACCGCCTGACATTCTCATAAATCTTGCAGGAGTTTTGGGGAAGGCGGCCTCGAAAATTGCTGCATACGTAACTGGGTTTTATGGGGCGTGTGCAGTTAGGAGAAAGTGCGTGGTAATGAGAGTTTGGCTTAGCAAATCCTCCATTGATAAATGTAGCAAATGTACCAGAACCTAAGCCCATTACACAAAGTGTATGTGGATGGGCCCTTTGAGCTCCTCGTTTCTGCAAGTGAAATCTCTGGCCTGGTCGCTAATTAATAATTAACCCACCTGCCTGGACAAAGGTGCTTTTACCTGGTTCTGGTTTACTACGCAATGACAGTGCCTGCAGTTGGTGCAATTATTTTTGCATGCAAATAATTATATGTGCAAATAAACAAACGCAATCAAATGTAAATTGATAATTATGCAAGGCGTGCGGTTGGTAATTACGGCAGTCTGGTTCTGATTTTCCTGGCCAGATTTCTGGTTTGAATTTGACTTTCCATCGGGTTACACAATTACCAGTAGCTGCATTGGGTTTTTGCTCAAACTCCGTCTAATTCCCTCCCTCCCTGTGGCCAGCAATTTGGACCGCAATCTGTTTATAGTGTCAATTGTGAAAGTGAATTTATCTGAATCCACTTTTACTGCAGAAGTACGAGGCAGAAGTAAGTCCATTGCCTGGGCAAATGCAAATGTAACGAGTGGCATTTGCATACATCGAAGCATCCAAGGGTCCGGCGACTGGAGTTCCTGCTCCGCCCCCTTTTTATCCTTTTGCTGCCCCGTTTCTTGTGCAAGTGTGGCTGGAGACAAACAGATATCGATTCTGTTTTTGTGTGTGTGTGTGCGTTTCCTGCTAGTTTTGCACTTCCGCTTCCGTTGGTAAATTCGCAATATCCTTTCGGCGTGGCCAGCGCCAGCAGTTGACTTGGCAGCACCTCCTCCTTTGGAAGCTGCCATGCCAATCCCAATCCCAATCCCATTGACTGTTGACCATTCCCGCTTTTAGAGGGGGCTTTTGACATGGCCGTTTGTTTTCCGTCGGTCATTCTTACTTTGAGGCCCCTGGTCGTTCTGCCTTTCTTGTTTTTTTAAATTTTTTTTTGTTCGTTTCGCCTGGAAATGCACAATATTGCAGTATACAAACGGAGTTTGTTTGTTGCCTCCGGCTAGCTACGAAAATGTCATTTCACATTCTCACTCTGCCAGGCCAAGAGGCGAACAAACACTTTGCATATTTTAACCTTAAGCGGATTTCGCGTTTGCAAATCAGCTAACATTTTCTACCCCTGCTACAGTTTCTGGTGCTGCTGTTGCCGGTTACTTTCATTGTCTGCTGGCAAACCGCAGAAGGTTGTTGCAGCT